ATGATTGGCTTAATGATTGGCTTAATGATTGGCTTAATGATTGGCTTAATGATTGGCTTAATGATTGGCTTAATGATTGGCTTAATGATTGGCTTTGTGGTAAGCGTGTAGCTGTCACGTGGTTGGGATCAATACTCTATATAAGGAGGTCGATCCCTCCCTCTTTTATCCTATATACATTACATGGGCAACCAGTATTACTATTACTATAAATAGATATTCTACCCTCGAGGTAGAGATACCACAGGCTTGATGACTGGCTTGATGTAGACTAATAAATAGAACCACCATGAGATTTAATACCATCTGTGAGTCTATATTTTCGGGTTAATGAAAATGTCACTCTTGAAAAAAACAATCATATGGAAGATGAAAAAAGTAGGATGATGAAAAAAAGTAGCATAATGGAGAGGAGGTTCCTAGCAAGTATATCAGACCCAGTATAGCCGCCTGTATTGTATAGTGAGCCATAGGGTTACATGCAGGCACCTGCCTCAGCAGTTCGGCCCGGGGCAGAGGTCCATAAAAGTGGGTGAATATTTGAGAGAAAATGACCGGGCAAGTTGAGGCGGATTCGTTAGAGTAAGAAAGTAATATTAAGTAATGATAAACGTGGATGAAACAATATCCACAGGGTGTACTAGATATAACGTTCACATAGCAAGCTGCATAGTAAATTACATAGTTAGCTTGTATGCAGGCACTTACCTCAGACATTTATCCCAGGGTTTTTTCGAGGCGCACAAACTAGTTACGCACCTGCGCAAACGAGACGCAGGTTGGCGACTGTCCTTTGCCATCTAGCTGATTTGAGACGAATGGGCAAAAGATCAACATGTCCTGCGTATTAAGGAAACTGAGCCAAGTACTTGGCAATGTCAAAAAGATTGACTTGGCAATGCTTATTTATGGCCAATAGATGCATCTCACGAGCCACCTCGAAGGTATGATTTGCAAGAATCGGGAAGGGTGTAGTAAAGGGAGTATATCTTGGTGTAGAATAAAATAACAACTACGCAAGTAGATATATAGTCTAACAGACAAAAACGGTTGGTTATATGAGAGCCGGCTTACGTCGTCTGAAGCAGACACTACCTGCAATGGGCGCTAGTTTGGTATACGAATATCATGCGACCACTTCCTAATACATCCCTCTCTGGCGTGTGTCTGAAACAGGGTCAAGGCAAGGATGCGTCAAACAGTGTATTCAATAACAACCATG